AGAGTGTGCATGTAGCCAACCGCACCCGACTTCGTGTGGGAACGGTTTTCATGATGCGTTGAAAAGACCAACAAGGTTCGACTTTTTGCTGCTTCCGATTGCTTCTGGGAGATTTGCATGCCTACTTCCGGACGACAACCACACAGCATAATATACCTATCACTGGCAGTTGTGACAATCTGGGACAACCAGATCGCTGTCTTGTTAGTGAAGTGGAAGCCAGGAAAACTTCGCCCCTTTGTCGAACAAGAAGTGCAGCGGCCTGGTGGCAGTGGGCTACAGCTCGTGGAAGAAGTGGGCTGGCAACCGCTGCATTGTGCAGTCCTCCCACATTCCGCAGGATCGAAGCCTGAGCTGTGGACTTGGAACTAGTGCTCAAGAGGGCTTTTCGAAAGCGTCCGCTGCAAGAGACACACTTTTCAGCCAGCGCTTCCCGGCATGACAGGAGGCTATGAAACTTTTGAGCTGGACGCTGCTGCCTACGATTTCGAAAAGCTGCTTTGATGCAAGGGTTTTGGCTTCTGGTCGGTCTCGCATGCTTGCAAGAGGTTCTCAACGCATTTCCGCATGCGGGTAGCGCCGTGTGCTCGGACTAAGGCCCAATTCCTGAAGCTGATGCGCCAGTGAACACCGAGGAAGCATACCTGCCCACAGCAAAAAGCGATATTGTTGTGCGCAAGTAAGGGGACTTTGTGTGTGTGTGTGTGTTAGTGTCGAGATGTACATATTACATATCTCGCTGTGTCTCTCAAGCACGTAATTAAGCGGCCAGCATGTCGCCCTGAGAATGTTAGGGAACGATGTTTCATTGGGGTTGACTGACATTCCAAGGGGCGATCTTTAGATTTTGCTCCAAGACGCAACTCCTTGAGTCGTCTCTCCGATTGTTTGCGATGATTCGGGGACGGTCACATTAACCTGAGCTTAGTCTCACATCTAAACTTTGCATTTACTTGTGCATCTACCCACCTCGTGCGATGTACTGTATACCTTCTTGTGGGCGTCGGCTCTGCCAGACCGGCAAAACAACACATGACCGACGACCACCACCGCCACCACCACCCGCCGCCGCCACCACCACCAGACGACGATGACGACTGCCAACAAGTATACTACTGCAACCGCCAAGATCATAGCAACGATTGCTACGAAGACCTCGTTGACGACAACAACTACTGTTGTTGTTATTTTGCTACTAATCACCATTACCACGACCGCCACCGGCACCGCAACCACCACCTCGACGACTACTACTGCTGCCACTCCTCCTCCTCATCCTCCCCCTACTAGCACTACGACTACGACGACGACTACTACATTGTGCTGGGAAACAAAGCGCGCTCTTTGGGAGCAAGGCAAAAGCTTGCAAATCTTGCAATTTGCCCCCGGGGAAGATTGGCAAGATTAGCAAGATTGCCCCCCCTGCTCCCGTCCCAACTGGTGCAAGCGGTGCAAGGTTTTGGTGTCAGTTTGACAGCCCCCACCCTGGAAAAGCACGATTAGCAAGATTGACGCGTACGTTCTTGCTCGGATATCGGACCTGTTCTCCCCCCACACACTCTACTACTACTACTACTACTACTACTACTACCACTACTACTGCTACTACTACTACTACTACTACTACTACTTGTTCTTCTAGTGCTACTTCTACTACTACCGCGACTGCTAAACAGAATAACTCGCCTCTAAGACTTTAAGCCGGCGCCTTTGTAGTGTCGCAGCCAGCATGTGGGGGCTTCGGCCGCCAAGTTCTGTGAGGGATTGACGGAAAGAGCAAAGGAAGAGGAAACTGGGCATGTACGTTGCGGCATCCTAACAGAATGAAATAGCTGGGACTGGGCGCATATATGACTGATTTGCCGACGAGAATTCGACTTCGAAGTGCCCAGGAGCTCAGGACATCGACCCCGAAGCCGAAGCGGCAGCTGACAAATCAAATCTCAACCGTCACCGACGAGATCGAGGAGAAGCGGCTACGTAAGCTTTCGACATGAAGTGATGTCTTGAGACATGTCAATCAAGTGGTGGCAACCGCTCCAGAACTCTCCCAGGTCACATGTATGGGGCGAAAATGCGACTTGAGTTTCCAGTTGGAATGAAGGGTTGAGATGCATGTTTCTGAGTTGGTTCGCATACCTGGAAGCTGCAATCGGATTGAGCACAGGAGTTCGATGTGCCCGCTGTGGCCAGCGGCGACAACGTTGATGACGTGGCCTTGCAAGATGAGCAGGAGCTTGCAAAGGATTTGGAAAGGGCAGGTAGTGGACCTTTGTCGTTCCAAAGGTTTGTGCGTTGAACACATCACACCGCGATACAGTGCCGCATGTGTGCCAGCCCCTTCGGTTTCGGTGGCCGGTCAGATGAGATTGCGGTCGAAATTGTGCAACTTTGCCCAAGCAGGACCAGGAGCTGGATAGTCCTTCTAGTTCTACTTCTCCGAACAATGACAATGACGACAATGACAAGGAGGAGCTTAGACAGCAGTAGTTTCGGTGCCTCCTGAGGTGGCCCGTCAGATAAGATTGCGGGCGAAATTTTGCAACTGTGCCATGCTAGCACAGGACCAGGAGCTGGATCGTCCTTCTCCTTCTCCGATCAATGACGACAACAACAATGAGGAGCGTACGCAGCAGTGGTTTCGTTAAGGAGCAAAGAGCGAGCCTCTTGATGAACATGTCGCATCGTCGAGATCTGCCAGCTGTCAAGTTGGTTGGCAGCTTTGCGGCAGTCACAGATAATCACTCTTTTGCAACCCCTTGGAGGAGCAGCAAGCATCTACGGAAACAGGGGCGGCACCAGCGCCGCCTGCACCACTTGCACAACAGACCGAATCGGTGCCGGTGCCAGAACCGGCACGTCCCTCCACCTGGAAACTCACACTGCGCGTGGTGAGTGCCACCACAGGCCGGATTTACAGTCATCAATCCGTTGCTGCAAAGTCGTCTTTGAGCAAGTCTTGCCTCAAGCGGATGCGAAAGCGGGGAAGCTGGTCGGCTGCAGGCACGATGCTGAAGTCTGTCCCGATTCAGATTCTCGACAGAAACAAGGCTCTTCTTGCCGAGGCCGGAGTTGTGCATGGTGCTTGTTCCTGGGCTTTGGCTTTGACCTGAACCCGCGTCGACAGAAGTTCCAATGGGTTTTGGGGCTTGGGCCTCTGTCCATTTCCGTATGTACGTTGCTACAGAACCACAGACAGACCTACACTCGCATTCTTGATACGGTATGGCAAGGAACAACTACAAGCTGCGATTTCAATTACTAGCGCTCCTCCCGCCCACTTGGGATCCGGGAGTCATGGGAACAGAAGGTCCAGAGTTGAAGCGATAGTGGAGTTGGTGGTAGTGGTCCTGTTCATGCAGTAGCCCGCGTGGGAATAGCAGTAGCAGTCGACGTCGTCATCCTAGTAGTCCTTGTGCTAGTCCTGCGCGCGATCGTCTTGCTTGTAGCATAGTAGCAGCTGCTTCCATGTCCATGCTTGATCATTTCGGCCAGGAATGCCTAGGTTCGGGCTCTCCAAAAAAACCTTCGAGTTTGGAAGTGCTGAGGACGAAGAAAGTGAAAGCGACTACATCAGGAAGCCTGAAGCAGCAACAATCAGAACAAATCAGAAAATCAAAGTAGTCTTTGGAAACCCCAGAAGAATATCTGGGCTAACTAATCCTGGAACAGACCCTGCATCGTGGGTTCGTCCTAGCCAGGCGGGAGGCCACAAGAACTAGCCATCCATGAAAACGAAGTAGTCGACAAATCGGCACACCTGATGTTTTTGAGAAACCCCAAACGCGATATAGTAGCACAGGTAATTGAAGTAGTGGTAGCAGAAGTGGTGCCAGTACGAACACCACAGCGCTGATTAAGACTGGTACTAAACTGATACATCTTCGCCACGGCCCGGTGCACCTTCTACACGGTTTTTTGTTGTTTGCGGCCTAAGCCGCCACGGTACGTCTGTGTATGTTTGGGAAGACGTTGCCTTCTGGCTCAGACTGCTGTGTCCCGTTCTTGGGGTGTCGTTGTTGTTGCCGTCCTGGTCGTGGTCGTCATGGTTGAAAAAGTCATCGCCGTGGTCTCATGGCCGTCGCACTGGTACAACTTGTAGTCATACTGCGGCTGCGTGTAGTAGCATCGCACGTGCGAACAAGATTCAGTAAAATTCATCAAGAACATGTTGAAACGTTGTCCAACCAGGGCACCACTTCAGAAGTCGGCATTGCCAACTTTATGGTACCCCGAGATGAAGATATGGTGTGGCTTGGCTGAATAAGTAGTTTGCTACGTTCCTAAGTGCGACGGATAGGCAGTGGGGACGTCTCTCTGCGCATTGCAGAATACATGAATCTTAATTTTGCACGCAGACTTGACCGCGTGCGGTGAGATGCTGGGAGCTGAGAGGCAGCAGTGCTAGCAAGTCTATGAACTTGCGAGATGCTCCCTTCTACTTCTCCACCCCAAGAGAGGTAATGCAAAGGAGTGCTGTTGCATTGCACTGCATTGCCGTCTTCGCTGTTGCGGTGTTTGCGAAAGTTGTGTTCTCTTTCTCCTTCGTACATCTTCGTACGGCAGCTCGGCATGTGGTGTCTCTTGAGGGGCCATGACAGCCAAGGTTCTTGGTTTTATCAAAAAACAGATTCATTCCTATGAAGCGACGCTACATCAGGCACGGTCGTGCGCCTTTCCCAGACTTGTTTCTCTTGTGCACCTGTGCCAGGTCCCGGCAGTGTGGGGATGCGGACAGCTGCACTACGCAATGCGCACTCAGCCCCAAGTTCTGAGCACCAGCTCTAGCTGCACCAAGCCACAAGATTCTACATCTTCATGCGTGAAGACGACAAGGTAGACTGCTTGCAGGCTTGCTCCGTTTCACAAGTAGCATGCTTTAGGCTCACAAGGCAGCTAAGAAGCGGAAAGATCGAACTCCTTGCATGGCAATGCGAGAGAAGAGACGGTACACAGCCTTAATTCTGCAGCCCGTTGAGAACCTTGAACAGTTTCGACAGGAGCTTCCTGCTCCTGCTGCGCTCGCTGTAGACAGAGGCACTTGCTCGGCTTCTGACGTTCCAATTATCGTGAGCTCTTTCCGCATAAGCAACGTCCAAATGAAGTATCCCGAGCCACGCATCAGGAGCCTGAAGAGAAGAATGTTAAATGCAGTACACGTATGTAGTGTACTTATACTGCTTGAAAATGGCAAATCGAAGACCCTGCAGAACTGTCCTGTTCTTCAAAGTCAAGCAGACTCATGACTATCTCGCAGGTCGACCACGCGTGCCAGAATTTGCACACACGGCAGACAATCACGCACGCCACACCGAGTGCGTTTGGAGATCGCGGCCGCCAGGGTCAAGGTGTTGGCACATAGCGCACCTGGAACCTATGTCGTACACGTACGCAGAAAAGGTCGTAGATGCCGCAATGTTGGAGCGTGCAACAGCTGCCACGTCAATCGGCCAACTGTTGTTCGCCTTAGCATTATACACCGCCGCACCGGGAAACTTGCTAGTCTCCGTTTCGTTGTTTCGGTCTACAATGAATGCCTATAAGCCGTTGCAACAAAAGTACAAACGCACCTTGCATCTAGCCTGACCTGCCATGGTTCGAACATGTGTGGAAGTAGCTCCTCCTAACACTTTGTTTGCGCCTAAAACACGAGCTCGAGCGCCAAATGACGAAGCAGGCTCTGGAATCCGCGTGCAGCTGGCCCTTGCTTTGCCGAAGGCGGGGTTTCTGAAACTGTTGCGACATGTCTCAGCCGGAAAGAACATTACGTGCAGATACGCATAACTTCAGGATGTTTCAGACAGTTTTGATCCAGGGGTCTGGCAATGTCAGACGGCACAGCATGCGAGCGAAAGAATCTTCCTCCTCCCAGGCTCCACCTACACGCTCGTCTCGCCTCGTGGCGAGTCGCCTCGCATCGGCTTTTCGCCAAGGTGTGGTTGACTCTGTTGTAGAGGAGTTTGAGCCAGAGCCACCAGCCAGGAGTTCGCAGTTCTGACTTCGCAGACGCTGCAGAGGCAGCACTAGGCAGGAGGGGGCCCCATGAGTTCCGTATGGACCGTCCCCAAAATGACAGCTGGAGCATTGATTGCTCTTGCTTCCCATGGCAAAAGCCCGGTTCAGGCATTTGCTTCCATGTCTGTTATGGGCCTCTACCCCTGCACTGTGAACAGCCCGACCAATATGCCTCAGTTGACTTCGTGTTGATCACCGCGCCGGCGCCGTTGCGATGGCTGGACAACTGTCGAGCGGCTCTGCAGAACCGCATGTTAAGAAGGCTTGCATGTTGAAACCTTGAGTATTACTGTAGAATACCAAGGGTGATCTTGACATATGGCTTGGAATGTGCTAAAGCCGGGTATGATTGTGCTGGGTTGAAGAGTTGAAGACCCAAGGTAACAAACACCTCGATGATGTCTTCGGCGCGATGGCGATGTCTTTGCTACGGAAGTGAGGCTTATGCCGAGCTCTCAGAGGCTCAGAGGCTCTTGAGCTCCATTCCATGCAGTCGCCAAGTCCCCGGCCAAGTCTCCGTGGCTCGAAGGATGCCAGCAAGCTGCAAAGACCTGCAATCTCCAGTGCAGTTTATGGCATGGCACAGAGGTGGTCAGGGGAGTGTCGAGTTGCTTCTGAGACTAAGTCCAGCATCGTGGCGTAAAGTTCGCAATAATTTTTCAGGACTCAGCTGACTGCCGAACTCTGCTCATGGCACCTGGCCCTGCAAGCTATGTTGGTCTACCCGGCGATGTGGACGAGGAGGAGAAGTCTTTCAGCCGGACACTGGAGATGTGCGCACCGGAGACATGGCTGAAGCATGAGTCCGAGTTACGACTCATGGCCAAGTGGCCTGCAGCGCGCCTTGGCCTGGGCTTTGGGCGCCAGCTGAGCCACCAGCAAAGTCGCAGCTCTGGTGACCCACTCCTCGTAGGCAATTTTGAGCCTCAGGACACGCCCAGGCAACGGTCGTACGCGGCACCTGTGCCGACGGGTCCCTCACGGCATGCACGCTCTGTCCGAACATAAACCGTTCCTTTTTGTTCCCCCTGGGTACACAACTTCTTGCACTAGCTATATAGACCGTCGGTTGGTTCACGGCGTCGGCAACACATGTGATGGGCCTGACTTATGTCTGCACAACATAGCAGAGGATATTCAAGGGGACGGTGCAAGACGTCAAATATGTCCCCATGAGAGTAAGGAGAAGAGTCCCGGACCCTGGGCTGCAGTGAACCTTGGTGTCCTGACCTGGTCGGTTACAGTGTCCCTTTGTTTCAATGGCATCTTTTCTTTGTGCGAGCTGTTTTGCCATGTTCATGGTTGCATCCAATCTGGAACCTGGCCGATCGCATCATTCTGCACGGCGTGTGCATATTAGCGGCCAGCCGGCATTTAGACGCTGGTCGGAGGTGGCATGATCCCCATCTAAGGCTGGTACTTATCTTTCTGGACAGCAATCGGCTGGATGAGTTCCGAACTCAAATGTATTTGTTCTGGAGCTTCACAACGACTTTCGTGTGGGTGGTGGAGGTTGGGCTCAGTGTTTGGCATGTTGGAAAGGAGTCCTCTTGTAGAGAAGCGGTGGAGCTTGTCGTCGCAGCTTACATGACATACGTGACGGCTGTCGTTATGTGGAAACACTGGTGTCGGCCTGACAAGCAAGTTGAAGGAGAGGTGCTCGACGTAGGGCTTACTGTAGCCGCATATCTCTATGCCTCAGAGGAGACGTGTCTTCTGACTTGGAAGCAGTGGCGCTCAGTATTCCGTCGCGCTGAGGCAGAAGGGTTTGAGCGGCCTAAGGCCAGCAATCAAGATCCCTGTACATAACGACGCAGCAGCCGCCTCACTCGTACTTTGCGAGGGCCTGCTTACATAGACAGCTTCAACGTGCGTCGGAAGGACGTCTATATTCTGTGGCCAAGTGACGAGAAAGCTGGTCGTCGGCAGCCATCGAAACCGGAGGTTGTGGACAGAATGAGCCCCATCGTCGAACTGTCTCAACTTTCAATCGTTTGCAAGGTTATTTGCCGCAAAGGCACGTGGACATTTTGTGCCATGGTTTTTGTCGCACTCCTACCCAAGCGGCCCCATCCATCCAAAAAGTTGATCAAGGTCTACACGCTTGGCTACACCTCGGAGCCAGCCCTGCCACTTCGGGAAGTCCTTGAGATCCAAGGACGGCCATAACCGACCATCCCAAAAGCCTAACGCGGCTCGAGATTTGTGATGCCTCGCTCAGGTTTTTTCCTCGTTCACTGTTCGAGCCAACTGTTTTTTGTCTGGAGGCAGAGTCGGAAGATTGCCAGGAGTGACCGTATCAGATTCTGCAGAAGCAGAAACACCCGTGCGATTGCCATTCTCGTCAACGTGGGTCGCATCCCTCTTCGAAGATGGCGCTTTGGTGTCTCAGTTTCTTGACAGCACAATGAAGGCAATCGTTGAAAGAACATATTCGTCCATGTGTTGCTGCGCGGCAACTGCATACCCCACAGTCTTTAGGAACTTCAGCATCAAATCCCAAACCGCACTTGCTTCTTCCATGGCTCAGGCAGCTCATGGAAAACCATCAGGGACAGGGTGTTCTGCATCTGGCCAGCGTGATGGACCCAGCTGTCGGGCACTGTAGAGCATGCTTGCAGCATCTCGGGGTGGCATGACTTGCCTTCATCCGAAAGCAAAGGCTGCAAGCCACACTGTCGCGCTGAGGCGCTACCTGATGGTGAAGAGGCAAACGAGACGTCAGGAGGTGAAGGCGGCAGCCTTGTGGAAGCACTTGAAGTTGTGAATTTCCTGAACAAAATGAAAATACAGCAAACTGGAAGGCAGGTAGTTATAAGGGAAATCATCAAGCTTGAGAGTCGTACGAGATGACCTCATTTGGTGCCATGTGGCCGTTTTTTGGCGAGGTTCTCAGATCAGAAGCTGCCCCTGCGAGGCAACACAACGACCTCGCTGGAGGATGGCGCCGTCACACTGCCGGAGGAGAGGTATGGCACTGGTATGGCTATGTATGGCTTGGTGTAACCGTCTGACGGACTCTGAAAGGATTTGTCTGGAACGGCAGATCGCATCGAAGGCGCATTTCTGTTGATTCACCCATGGCATCCGCAGGATGCCGTCGACCTCGAGGAGTGTGTAGAGCAAGAGGTGTCACATGGCGGCATGTCTCACCCACACATGTTTATGAAACATAGTGCAGAACAGGCCGAAGAAAATAATATCTTAGAAGATTCAATTGATGCAGCTTTCTTGCATACTTCTAGTTCATTTAAGCTTAATGAACTAGTCCCAGGTCACACTTTCCGTGCCCGGTCGGAATGTTCGCACACGGCGGCCCAGTACGCAATTAATCGAAAAAGCTGGTCTAAGTGGTGCCTACTGGTAGCCCCAGCACGGCCCATGGTGTTGAATTGTGCGTTTGCGAGGTGTTCGTGTCGTGCGATTGGGCGGAGCCGGCTCGTGGATGGACAGTCTTCAGCTCCTCTGCAGCCAGGACGGCGAGTGGGATGTGCAACGCAATTTGGGCAGACTCTAGAGTCTGGGGTGATGTCAGATTGATTTTTACAGAATGAGTTCGGAGTGGTCCAAACCGAGGGTACAGTATCAGTGCGATCGGTCGCATACACCATGAAACTTGATGGTCAAAGTGATCGGGAGTGACATGGGGGTGAGCGGAGCAATCGCTCGATAAATCCGAGTGGTTGGGAACGGCACGTGGCAAACACCAGTTGCGGGCATTCACCCTGTCTCTCTCTCTCTCTCTCTCTCTTCATGTTGTGGCTCACTTGGCTTGAACCACTCTTCGGTTTCGCTTGTGGCTGCAACAAGTCGCTGTCGGAATCTGTTGGAGTCGTGCGTGCGCTCCGTACTCCGGTGTCACTCCAGTAATCACTCCCCAATCGCTCTCAATCCATGCTCGATCCAAATCACTCGCCCTGTGCCCAACAGGATGCCCTCCAAAATGCTCACAGCACGCAAGCACTCCTGAGGCATTCGCCACAAGCCCCTGGAAGTTTTAGAATGGATAAACAGATGGAGTGGCAGCGGAGTAGGGCAGACTCGCACAAAGTGGTGCAAGTGATTCCAGGCCTCTTTCCGTGCAAGCACCCCGCAAAAAAGTGTAATCAAAATCGTTGGACTGTTGCCGTGAACTGCGATGAGATCGCCAATGCATCACTCTGGCATCCCACCTAATCAGTCCACTCTTAATCAACGCTGGGGAGTCGCTTTGAAATCACTGCTGCTGCTATTGAAACCGCGAGTCCTTCAAGAGCACATGCAACCACTCGTGACTCAGTCCCGACCACCACTCCGAGAGCACTACACACATTTTCTTGAACACCCTCGCAAGAGCCTTCAGCGACGCGCAAGTTGTTCAAGCACGGGTATGCGGGTTCTGCTCCGCTTTCCAGGAGCTAGATGTTGGAACCAACCACACGCAGTGGCAGACCCTGGCTGGCACAACGGGTCTGGCAGGCAACAGGCAGATCCTCTCCTTCACAGATGCTGGGGAAAATGCCGAGGCGCGCAGACTTAGCTTCTCAGGTCACTGCCAGAGCTCTCAGATGTTCAAGGTGCATTCCCAAGCCCGAAGGTCGAAGTACTTCGCTGCGACGAGCGCGCCTCTTCCATGCTGGTGGGAGTGCGTCTCGCTCTTTGGCGTCGGCGCAAGGCCGTTTCAGCTTCCCCACAAGCCACACTCTTCCGACTCTTCCCTGCTGTGGCTTACGACAGGCAGCTGGCTTGGCGGCAGCCTGTGCCGCTTGGGCACAGGCCGGCCTGCCCTTCTTGGCAACATTGTCCGATTGCAACGGAAACATCGAGACGAAATTGCAGGTAGAGCGGGGCATCGCCTGGGATTCAGAAGCTCACGAGGAACTGGAGCCTGAAGTGGCCTCGATGGAGCTGGACGGCTGGTGATGGCATCACACAGAAGGGACTTGTGACTTGTCTCTGCGCCTCTGCACGCGGCACACAGGAGACCGGCGCCAACTGCACCGGCCTGGTTCCCATCAACGGCTCGGAGAGATGGGCGAGTTGCCAGGGGTCGCCCGGACTGACATGAAAGAAACGCTTTTGGCTTTTGGTTGCGATTCGATGCTTTTTGCTGATCTCAGGATGGCCAACCTCAAACCTTGCCCAGACCCGGAGATGTGCTGCTGCAACGAAGATTTCCAGTATATCGAGGCCAGTGCTGTCGTGGGTGTTCTGAGCAGCTGGGAAGGTGACCTTGCTTTCGCCTCGGGTAAAACCATATAATAATACTATGTCTGAAGACACCCGACGCTATCCTAATGTCTCGTCATGCATCTGCGGATGAGAGGTTGTCTCGTAGAGAGTTTTGTGCAAGTTTGGGGGACGATGCTAGTAGGGGAGTGGCTGCAGGCCTTGGGCTCGTGTGAGCCCTGCGCCGCTGGAGAGGCTTCCGAAAGACCACGCAGCCGATGGCCTAGGGGTTCTGTTTTCCTTGTTGGTGTGGGGGGCCCTCGACCGTGGATTCCTTGGGGCATTTTTGAGACATGACTTAGGACTCTGTCCACCTGGCACTGCAGTGGTCGGTTTCTATGCCGGCATCGCATCCAGCGAGGGCAGTCGGCATCAGGTTGCCAGCTCGCTCTTGAGTTGGTTGCAACTGCACAACCAGTGCCCAAGCGGTTTGACTCGGTTCGTTCAGGCTGTGGGGTCGGATCTGCTGATTTCTACTATCTGCTCCATTCGAGTAAGTTGTGGACCTTTGGAGGCCTGTGACTGCCGTGGCGCAGCATCACAGAAACGGCCTTGTCACAGCGTATCAGGTTCGCCACTGGGCAGGGGACTCGTCGAGCAACATCGGCACGACGCTTGGAAAAGAGCGGAGCCAAATTTCGTGAAATCATACGCCATACACGCCGGTGACAGGCACAGCTTTCCTCTCGTGTGTTGGGGCATAGCACATAAGCGTCAAACTCCTGCATGGATGCAGTGCGAGGTTCTTTGGTGGTAGCGAGATGGGACCCGCCGGTTCAGCGCTTTGGCATACTAGAGATGGGACATACAAGAATAAGGGAAGGAGAGAAGTCAGAGATAGTCTGAAAGCATGGGAGAAGCAGCTGGGGTGGCTTGCAGGGAAGCTGGAGACCTGGAGCTGCCGGGCCTGGCGAACCTGGGAGAGCTGGAGTGGTGGCACTACACGGCCGCAGGCCGGGCGCGTTGCCGCACGAATTGGCACCTGCGCGCAGTTGCGAAACGCTGCTGACTGCGAGGTGGAGCGCTTTTGCTCGTGTTGTACTGCATTTACCGTTGCTGTCGGACCTCGCAGTCGACGGTCTACGGACTCTCGGCTGCACTCCGCCCCCTTTCGAAGTCTCGCTCCCTTTGCTGAACCTGAAGCCCGACAAAAACTTAGGTGATGTACAAACCGGGACGAAGTCAAGCTGGACCACGTTCAAGGGCGCGATGAAGTCTCTTGGTGGCAGCATTCGCTTGGTGATTACAAACGCTTCGCATCGTCCGGCACAAAAAGTGACGGAGAAGGAAGACGGGCGGGGGGGGGTGAGACCGAAGAGCACCCGCCGCAATTTCCCGAAGTTCCTGAGGTTACCTTTTCAAGTTGTTTGGAGGCCGGGGAATCTGGCAACAGTCTTTTCAAGTATCTTCAAGAGAATCTATAGACTCATTAGACTTGTCGACGCCTGGTCGACTGCAGTTGCGCATTGCAGGTATCTCCTACGACCGATCGGCTCCCTTGTGCCCCGGTGCAAAAGAGGAGATCCGGACAAAAAGACAGGGTCAACAAGCAACCTATAGCAAACCTTTTGCAACTTGATAGAGCGGTTCTGGTCCCTGTGGTGACATGGGCATGGCTTTTTGTCCAAAGTGCACCATCTAATCCAAGGTGCTTCGGATGCTGGAGCCGGTTTGGGTCCGCGTTTTGCGGCCACTCCTGCGGTGGATGGCCGCGACCCGCGTAGCCAGGCTTTTGGCAGGCGACAGTTTGCGAATGGTTGCATGCTTGTTTTGCTGCACGGAGCAAGCACCAGAGCAGTCGCCTCTCACACACGCATGTATCAAAGCACCATGCCAGAACAGAACAAGCCATTGTCGTATACATGCCTGAGACCGAGGTATAAGTAGTTATAAATAAGGATTGCGCAAGCACAAACCCTGGCATGTGGCATTGCCCTTTCAGGAATCGCTCGGCGGCTGTGGCGCTTGCTTACGTGCCTTGGAGCGTATCGACAGCTTGGCGGCCTCTTCGAGCAGAAGCCGTGAGCTCTTTTCGAGGTGTTGCTGCCCATGCCTGAGACGTCTGGAGAAGATGTCTTTGAGGGAGGCTCTTGGGCGTGTTCTCGGATCGAGTCACGTGACAAATCTGTCGGAGAGTTCATAAGCTTTGCTTGCGGCAGACACTGAAAGCCGCCCGCGACCCGATGGCCGCTAGCAAGACTACGTGGGCCACTCAGAAACGGGGCAGATAGGTGCATGTCCAGTGTGGCTCGTGAAGTGCACATCATATGCCGCAGCCCACTTCCATGCAGTGGCCTGCAAATCTTCCATACTGGTTCCACACAGGCGGGCGCGTGTCGCCCGGCAGTGGGAACTGCGACGGCAGCTGATGTCCGGCACTTTTGACGCACAGAAGGCGAAGGACACCATGGTGACTGACCGCTTCTGGTCACAGCGATGCTGTCATCGGTTCATTCATGACTGGGCGTGAGTCTGACTATTGAGGACGACTTGCTTGGCCAGTGCTTCGGTCGCAGTGCATATGGCACAAGAGGCTGCAGCACTGGGAGAGGCTAGAGGCTGCGCACAGCGGCTACAAGCAGCTGAGCAGCTTTCTGCCTAGGCTGAAGCGAGGAGAGATCGACGAGAAGGAGCTGGGAGCACGGCAGCGCGAGATCGATGAGTTGCTTGCCAAGAGCCAGGCTCGCGGCTCAATGCGTTAGTTACGGTTAGTGAGGCGATCGAGTTGATCTTCCCTTTGGTCGCTGTGAGGCTATGACCAGCAAGACTTCACTGAAAGATCGCGTGAAGAGTCTGAAATCACAAGGCGCTGCACTCATGTCTCTCCTCCAAGCTGCTGCCAGCTCATAGTCCGAAACACTACAACACAGTCATACATTCAGTTTGGCGCATGTCTGCAAGTTTCCGAACTTTGCGCAGCTGAATCCACTCTGCGCATCCGCTTGCAGATCTTGCAGAAAAGACAGCGTCTAACCTTGGAAACGGGCAGGGATAGAATCTTTGCATTCCAGCACACGGAGCAAGGTAAAGTTAGGTCGAGGGCTTCCTTCCATCTGCTTCCTGTTCCAAGCCGGAATTCGAGCTTTGGTGCTTCTCAGATGCGGATGCAACTTTAAGTTCCCATCGAGGCCTCACACGGCGTCAATCTCTACACTCTACATGTCGTTTTTCATGTCCAGCGAGACCTGTTATCAAAACCAACACCTTCCAGTAGCTCGGGTTCGGTTCATGTCAAGGGTTTCAAGCCTGGCGAAGCTCGTTTTTCTTTGCTTACGACAAAAAGCAAATTCAAGAAGCACCCTCTTCCAGTCCTGATGCTGTCCCCAAGCGATTCACAAGTCACTGCAGGCAGTCTTCGCCCGTTGTCTGCGGCAAAGAGCGTCAGCGCATCGAAGATGTTTTCTGCCAGCATGTCCTTTGCCAGGCTATGTCGGGGTTTGTTGGGGTTCGACTGCCCCAGGCCCAGGCCCTTGAAGCCCTTGCTCTCCCACAACCCCGAGCTGTCAACATGCTGGTCTTTCACAGGGTATCCGCTTGCAGAGGCTCCAGCAATGCCCATCTCCAAGCTGTCCATGTGGTGTGGAGCGGATGAGATTCGAAAGGACGTTTGCTGAACATTGCTTTCTGGCAGGTCTGCCTCGCTTCGCGAGGATGGTGCCCGCAAATGCTGTGTCAGCCTGAGACAGCACCATCAAGAGAGTGATTGCTCCTTCTTGTATCCTGTTCGTTTAATCCATACTCTCCTCTCCTGAGCGCATGCTGCTGCAAGCTTAGAGTTGAAGCCTCTCATCGGGACAAAATGCCTCCGATGCAGACTGCAAGGTGCATGCTGCCGGCGGCTTCCTGTTAAGGAGGAGGATGCGGAGGAAAAGCAGGAGGCGGCAATAGCAGCCGCGCAGAAGCCGGAAGCTTACGTTGCCAAGTGACGTTCGGTTTGTTGCCAGTTGGGTAATTTGGCACTGTTTTACGATGAGGCCCGAGGAAGGCAAGGAACATGGAAAGCGGGCAACAGTCCAGAAAGAAGACGACGAGGATCGCTACCGGAGCAGAGCACGGCATTACGACGAAACTCCTCCTCGCTGCAGTCTACGGTCGCTGCTTCTTGAGCACGACGTAATACCGCTGGCCCAGACAAAAACAAGTTGATATATCGATCAAGTACGACAGCAAACTGGCAAAATGACACCACAGAGACAAGGGGGCCCAGTAGTAGTATAGTGTAGTACAGTGAGCTGACATCGGAAGACGACTCTTGTTCACCTGTTCAAGCACACTGGAAGAACAACGTTCCCCTTATCCTGTAGATACTGTAGTATGCATTGTCACCGATTTAGTGCTGTGACACTGCAACAAACGTAACGCACTCCTTAGAGAAGGTTCATGAAGACGCTGCCCTAGATGGCCCTAGATGTCAGCAGCACGTCTAAAGCAGTTGTCTGCTTGTGTACTTCAAGGCTCGTGCTCGGGCAGACTCAGTCTGGGTGATTGGATTCTTGCGTTCGGCGAAATTGAGCGTCACAGATGCAGCCTAGAAGCCGCAAGCGGGCGGAGAGTTCAACGTGAATCAATTGCCAATGGCAAGTGCGAGACGGGAGGGCTCACTTTGCAGGCCGCAGGCCCCCCGCCCCCTCAACCAACAACCGCGACGCAGACTAAACGTTGTCCAGTGCAAGCTTTGGAAATCATGGTTGTAGCTTTGGTACCAGAGCATAAGCACCATCAATGTCTGGCAGGAGTGGGAATATTTCTGGGAGGAAGACTCCGAAGAGGAGGATTTCGAAGATGATCAGGTCATCGACCGATCTTCTTCGGCTAAGATGTCCATTTGGCACAGCTCAGTCGAGTAAGAACAGCTTCATGTAAGATGAAGATGCAAGCCACCTTCACATCCACGCTTGGCAGATGGTGGACGTGAGCCCGGCAACAACTCAAAGCCGTGGCCGAAGCGAAAGTCTGGCTGCGACCTTATGGCTTCGAGTCCTGATGTGGCGTTCGTCAACTTCTTGACAACCACTGCACGGCTTTTTGTGCACGATTCAGTTTACTAGGCCTTCGGCCCGGTGGCCTCGCGGACATCCGGCGCTTCTCAGCTAACCTCCAGAACCAGCACATCCCAGGTGGGCACAAAGAGTGTGGCGCGTGGCATGCAACCTTTGTGGGTCTTGTGTCTGAGTATTTCCGAGTTCCCGCCAGACAGCAAACACGTGGTTACCGAACCAGAAGGCATTGAGCAGTCAGTTCTCAGGCCAAGCAGTCAAAGAGTCAGTTGACACAGTGAGCTGGCAAGGGCCTGAACAGCGCGAAGGTGTGCGTGCGCACGCGGTCTTGCGGTGTGTCTTGCCAGAAAGTGGCACCCGTAGACTTTGATGGTGCGTTGAGTCCATGCGATGCAAAAGATTTGCATGCCTGGAGGGATGAAACACAAAGCCGGAAGCAATCGGCAATCTTCTAAGCTCCAGACTAAACCCTGTATTGAAACCTAAGCTACTAAACTGTTGATGTGCGAGAACATGTGCTTTGCAACCTCAGAGCCTCGGTTGCGATTTCGGCTTGGATAAAAGATCGGGCCATGTACATATTTTTCCTGCGTATGGAGACCCATCCAGTTTCAACGAGTGAGCTAAGCTGAATGTGTTTTCGAAGATCTGGTAGAGGTTGAGATTGGGGATAGGTCCTTCTTCTCGTCAACTTCTGCTGACAGAGTCCAGCAGAGTTGCGACACACGCAGGCTGCAACCTGAAGCTTGTTAATGGCTTCCGTCAGAGGCAGAGATGACGATGCGAGGACATCCGCATCCAATGCTTCGAAGTTCGTGTAGCGGATGTGGGAGTGAAATGATACAGCATGCCGAACTGTTTGAGACACCCCTCCAGGCTGCTTACCAATCGGTCCCACAAACATCATCGGATCAGGAAGCTGTGCCTGCGCAGGCCTACATCTTCAGTTCAAGTGAGATCTGAGCAGCCGGACCTGACCATGGCAGCGATTAAGGTCACCGGTTCTTTCGAAAACCCTCCTTCATAGCTAAGCAGGACAACGACCCGGCTAGGTTAGTCGACTGGTTGCAGACCTGGGAAGTACCAAGGACATCACTGGAAAGGCAGAGTAGCTTAATAAATCAGCTGCTTGAAGCTGCAAAAGACCGCTGCGCATGCTGATAGGTGGCTGGGTCATCCGCAGGAGCCACATTTTTGTGTCCTGAGTGCTGCTTGCGAGGAATGGATCATGTCGCATACTTTGTGGGATGGTATCCGTTGCTTAGATTCCTTAGATGTGCAAGCACCACAAGAAGTGTCTACAGTGCAGCTCTGTTGCATACAAGCAGTGGTAGCATACGAAAGGTACTCGTAGAGAGAAGTGGCAAAGTAAAGTCTTTGCGCATCCATACGAACTGTGGCGGGCCAGACCAAGACCCTTTCAGGGTTGTAGGGCATTTGTTCCTTCTTGACTGGAATCCTTGTAGCCGAAAGCCCAACGGAAACCACAATCTTCTGGCTAGCAGTCTTTACGAGCGCGACGTGCAGTGCAAGATGATGCAAGATGCAGAGCTGCACTGACGCACCCAAATGGCGGCTCTACCTGCAGAGGCGACTCGTAGCAGCTCTTTGTTTGGGCTTTTGTGCTTTAAGCATCGTTTTCAGCGGGCTTTTGTACACTGCTGCGGCTTTGCGAATTGCGGGAAGGCCCAGCACCTGGCCAGCCGTGCGCTGCGGCCCTGGCTGGCGCGGGCCGCCCGTCGGCCGATGCCGCGCGGCCGGCCAGGAAGGCCCTGGCCCTGGCCCTCGGAGCCTTAGCCTTGGCCCGGACACGTCAAAAAAATCCTGATGGCAAAGGCCTGGTGCTCAAGGACCAGCTGAACTCTGGCTTCTCGGCTGCAGAAATTGGCGCATGATGCTTGCCTTGCCCAAGTGCGGGTAACATCTCTGCACTTCACTCACTCTGCCATGCTCTCTTGCTCGGTGTCCAACTTGCATTGCCTGGGAGGTTTCAGCCGCATGAGACCAGCCAGCACAGCCCCATGCTGACCGAGTCTGAGATGGGGATGTCGCCGACTGCCAGGACCGGCTTTAAACGCGAGAGAGTAGGCTCAACTCCTTGATGTTCGACAAACGTACACTGCACAAGCTTCTGGTCTGAACTGCAGCAATCAATAAAGCTCAGCTGGATCCATGAGCTCTCAGAATCTGCAGGTCTTCGCACGGCCAGGCTCTTTTGCTGCCGGAGATGTTTGGAAGTAGTTCGGGAGAGCGTTTCTTCCGGTCATGTGGGCTGCAGACCTTGCAGAGAAGCCCTCAGCTTTGACGGGAGCAACTTCGGTACATGATTCGATCGAAGCGATTGGTTGCGAAGCTTCTCCTTCTCTGTCCTACTCGAGGCCTCCGCGAAGTCGGCTGCAGCTGAGCGCGCCGTTGCACTGCAAGAGCTGCGCCGTGGCTCCGTGGCGCCCGGTGTGCCTTGCTGTGAGCCTTGAAGTGCAGCATCTGCTAAACATTCCAGCACGTCTCGAGTGATGCTGTGTTTGATTCGAGAGTAAGTTCAGTGGGAACCGACATTCCAAGACAATCCTAGAATTCGAAGATCGAGGCCCCGCTCAGAATTGGCCGTGCCCGCATGAGCAGCCACAGGTCGTCCTGTCCGCTTACTTCATTCTCGTGCGCCACGGTACGTGCTGCCCTCAGCCACCCTGCACATGATTGACATTTGCGAAAGCAGCTCCGTGCACATGAGCACTCTCGTGGGTTCTTGTAGCCTTTCGGAGGACGTTTTAATTCACTTCCCAGAAAAAGTGCTCGTGGTCAGGTCGCTGGGTGCTGCAGAGGCTGCAGATCTCTGGGAAGCCCTCATGGCAATGCCCACCAGGCTCGCAGAAGGAATCTGCACAGAAGCTATTAAGTCCGAGCTGCGCAATCCAGTCGACTTACTAAACTCACCCGTCGCGACTTGCACACGCAAATCGAACTCGACACCCGCTGTGCAGGGAGACGTTGCCGCCACTGCTCAGGACTGACATGACTGACATGTGGTGCTTCACGTCAATCGGTTCCACAATCAAGCATGAGCCACAAGGGATAGCACCAGCAAGCCTTGAAGGGAAGCTTGTATTTTCGTCGGTGCAAAGAGGCTCTCTGGACGGGAGCTTTGTGACACCCTTTTCGTCCTTGCTGCAGCGCGCAGCTTCAAACGGCACGCCGAGGTTGCAGAGGAGGCACGTCAATGCGGTTTCGCTCCTCCTCCTCCTCCTCCTCCATCCAGCCAGAGTCAACGGTAGTGCGTGGACACAAAGTCGCCCCTAGTGCCCCAGTCCTGGCTGCTGCTACTACTATGCGAGCACTGTCCATCACGGACCTGCAGGTGGCAAAAACTTTGTGCTCGCACTACGATGCGTACCTCTCCGAGTTGCAACTGTGGCCTCAGACACTTCCGCTTGTGAGCGTGCCTTGGCCCATCTTGGCTTGCCTGCAACAATGGAGTTGAGAAGAGCGGAGAAGGGTTGAGAAGGGCTAATTAAGAGGCTGCTTGAAAAGCCTCGGCTTAGCAGCCACCGCAAGCGTTCGTTCTTCCCTCCCTTGCAAGCTGCTGCTTCGAAGACTCTGTCAAAAGTTCGCTTAGTTGGTCCCACTCACATCCATTGCCCCGCTGATTCCATTCTCAGGGCATGGACAGAGCTGATCAAGAAATGTCAAAACTGTAACAGTTAACAGTGATAGTACATATAAAGAGCCGATGAAGAAATCACCAACAAAAACTATAGGCTGGTGTCCAATCTGGGTAGGCTACTGTATGGGCTCATGAAGCCTGTTGCCAGTCTCGAGTTTTTTCGGTGTGCAGTGTGTGCAATCCCGCCAGTCAACAGCTCCTATGCACCAGACAGGGGTGTGCTCACGACAGTCACTGCTTTGGTAAGCATCTCGTAGCAGTGGCGCAGGCAGGGCTCGACTGTTCGCACAGAGACTTCTTCACAAGAATTGAGGTGGGTTTGTTTCAGTTTCAATATCCGACGAGGGACTGGACGAATCCATGGTTGTTTCTGTGTCGGCAACCAAGGAGTTCTTGGCATGGCATTGCCGCACCTTGGGTGCAATGGTCACAGACGGGATGTTCCGAGCACAGAGCCTATGATGGCTGTTTTGTGTCTATAGCGTCTACGTCTACGTGTTCTGTTCCAGAGCAGAGAATCTCACTACTTAGACTACGCAGTTCGGTGCTGAGACAGCCCTCTTGCTGGCAGGAGAGAGGGGGTTGCTAAGCAACTTCCTGCTGACGGTGCTGGTGCCATTTTGGCGACAACACTCGGCCACCGTCGCACAGCTGAACTGGTCCGAACTGTGGCATTTCGACACTTATTTGACAAGGCAAGGTGCGGGCTACCCAAGACAAGCACCTTGATGCCCAGTGTAGGCATAGCCCTTTGACAGCAGGCACAGTGTCAATAGATCTTAGCTGCGGACGGCCTGAGGTCCAGGCGGCCCTGGTGCCGCATCATGCGCAGGCTGTGTCTGCAGCCTGTGCTCGCTGCGGAAGGCTCGTCGCCCTGAGAGCCCTGGCTGCCTTGCTGCCTTGCTGCCTTGGGCCGGCCAGGGCGTTACCTCATGACGTCCTGCAAACAGTCCGCAGTGCCCTGTGCACCTGGACTGTTGCGAATATTTCTCAGCTGGGCCCCCGCGGCACTGCAGGCTGGAGTGGGTTTGTCTTTGTAGTCTTTGATAGCGGCAGTGAGACTAGCACTTGCGTTGAACGTGTCATGTGAACTGTGAAGGTATGGCTCTGGCATTGTCGAGAGTAGGACCGTGGATCGGCTTGTGGGTCTTGCCTGTGGACTTTGTTATCTCTGCTAGACGGTCAGATGACTGCGCTGAGCGTGCCGGTGTGCTCCCGTTAATTGTATTGGGTGCCATTGGCTGTCCATGACGGTGGAGTGATGGCTTGGCGAACTCTTTTCACATGATTGAACCGCTTTCACATTGAAATTGGCAGGACCCGGCTTAGCTGGTGAGGACCCTGCCGCGCTTGATGCGGTAGCTGATGTGGTTCAGCATGCGCTGTCATGCAAGTGGCTGTCATGTAAGCAGCACGTGATGCTTATTCGCTTCTTGTCCACTTGGAAGCTGAGTCCGCGCTACAGGCAGCAAGCTTTCCAACATTTCTCGTATGCTTGCAATCGCTCACATCGCATCCAATGGTCCATTGAACAAAGCCTGTCCAGGATGCCAATGCGCAGCTCTTGGCCTTGCTGGTGCGTCGTGCCGGTCAGCTCTTGAAGGCACTTTGATCGAACACTGCTGAGCGAACCACGATTAAGTGAGCAGGAACTTCCTGCATGTATTTGCTGCTGTTCAAGGAGGCAGCTGAAGGCGCATCGACGACAAGGCGTAAGCTGGCTTATTTAGATTGGCACAAGACCAACGGAGCAGGGAAAGTTCCTGAGCAGCCAAGGTCCTCTGGATGACAAGGCTACGACGGCTTTGTTGCCATGTCACCCATTCAGGCCCACCTAGGCTCGGTAGGTCCAGAAACAACTCGCTTCGGTTCTGATCACGTGCATCTGCACCCGGTGCACGTCCTTTCTTGATACTAGCTGTTGCGAGCATCATGTTCAAGACCGTGGATGCTGTGAGCCTTCCCCCCCAAACTATTGTTGCTCGACCTGTGTGCAGCCGTAGTCGTTGTGGCTGCGATGGGCGTTCTGCTGAGGCCTTGTTACTGCTAGATTCCGAACCTACAGTCTACAGAAGCGTCCTCGAAGGCGTTTTACGCACAGTGTCATCAGAGTGCATGAATGTATAAGATGTAAGCTTCTCAAGTAGTCGTGTCATGTTGGTGAGGCAAGCTGAAATTGTTTGGCGGGTCAGCTCCTGCGTCCAGATGCGTGCGTGCCTATATGCATCTTGTCATCATGCCTCAGACAGCCCCGCCAGGTTTTCAAGCCGCTCACATCAGCAACTTGTCAGTAACTATAGGCCGTGTCTAGGCAGCTTGTGATGCATGGTAAAGAGGTGCAGTTCTTTCGCCCGGACTGGCTTGGCATGTTCCTCAGCGCTCTGGCCCGCGGCCGTTGCCGCGAGGAGCTGGAGACCTTGAGGCCACTGGAATCACTGGGATCAGGGAGTCCGTCCATAGGAGTCCGAGCGCACGCTGCCAGAGGCGCGTGTTGGAAGCACACCTTCTCCCTCGGCAGCGAAGCTTCCCGGCTGACACGAGCTCGTGGGACGTTCAAAGGTTGTCAATGCGCCGATTGACAATAATTCAGACCTGGCCCCAAGTTCTTGTCAGGCCGCCTGGCCTTCGAGCCACAGAACTTGGCCCTCGCGGCCAATGCCGTGCTAAAGCTGGACTGGCACTGGTGGATTTGAGTAAGGGAGAAGACAACGAAGAGATGCAGTGACTGGGAGAGAACAGCTGTTGATTTGCCTGGCAGCTCACTGGCAGGACCTTCTCCGACTGCGCCTTGATGGTCCAACCCCACTGGTCGCCCTCGCTCCACTTGTGCGCCGTGCCTGAGACTTCCCTGCAGTTTGGAACAGGGTTCTTTAGTACATAGCTTGACGAACCGGAATCTCGGACAACTTCCTCAAGAGCCAGCACTTGAAGCCGCGTTGCCTGAGCTATTACATGATCCGACGATGTTATAGGGATTGTGTGACTGCAAAGCAGAATCGGCGCATTGCTTTTATTGCTAGTGCAGGGAAAGCATCCAAGAGCTGAAGCAGTACTTCTAGTGGAAAAATCAGAATGGTGGTGTGCAGTGGTATGTAATTATTGTCGGAATGTAGTCCAGTCTGACACAGGCTGGCAAAAAGACGTGGTTCCAATTATGTGTCACCACAACCCACTTGAACAAACTAATACGGCAGGTCCCAACGCCGTTTCTGAGCGGAATCGCATTCGAACTTGAAGCAGACCAGTGGAAGTGATTGCCACTTCTCAGTCTAATTTAACACCGACTAGCACTTCCAGGCATTTGTCACCAAGGCCTGTTTCAGTCCCAATTAAAACAGACTCCAGCCAATGCAAAATTATCCTAATTCCCACCGACGTCGCAATTAAATCGGCAGCTGCTTTGAAACTAACTGGCCGACCCCAGCCATTTCGCACCGAATCATCTGAGCTTCCAATGCGGCTTCCGACTGAGACCGGTACTAGCTTCAACGTGGAGTCGTTGTTTCCTGAGGCTAAGCACAGCAGTCGCAAAGCTGTACCGTAGTGTCCAGGTGTTGCCATGGAAGGGGCGGGAGGTGCCCAATCCGCTGCTTCTCTGCACCGCATCGCATCACCTTGGGAGCATTTTCTCCAGAGATCCTCACCGCATATGAGGCCTGCCTGCTGGCCCACGCCTTCGGCAGTGCTTTAATGATGCTCCCGATGCCGCCAGCCCCGACCGATCTCGTGCCACTCACGCAGGCATGCTGGGAGGACGTTGTCTCACGCGAACCACTAGTCACTAGGTGCCCTCCAGGTCTATGAAACGGTGCTCGGAGACCTCTTCACTCAGATCATCTCTTTGCAGCTTTTGCCACTTGATAGAGATCCGCAGCAGCTATCTTCGGGGTTCGACCTCCGGGTTGAGTTTTGCAGAATCCATCAAGATCCGAGGAACATCCGTGTGCGCTTCCAGCTGCTGTCCGCTGTGCCTCGACCTTGCATTCCGGATTCCATTTGTGCTACTATGCTGCTTCCGCTGCTACTCCGAATCTAGCTGCTGCAAGAGCGGCAGCTGCTTCTCATGCCACTGCTCCGGATCCATCCGGATCCAAATACTCCACCGCTTGTGCTAGTACTCGTAATATTATCACAGCTGCTATCTAATCTGCTGCTGCTACTACTGCTGTTGTTTCGTGCCTGGGCTTCTCAGTGTCATTTGTTATTGCTTACTATCAGCATTGTTCTTGCTACTGTTATCATCATAATCATTATCATGATAATTACGTAGTGCTACAACTAGCTGTGATGTTTAAATATTTCCAGAAGTAGTGATACGATAACAAGATATTTCTACTGCTGCTGATACTACTGCAGCTGCTGCTGCCGCTTCTACCCGACTCGCAGCTTTGAGCACTCCTGAATTTCTTCGTGCAAAGTGCAACATTGGTCAACTGCCACTTCCTTTCCGGCATCTCACGACTCACCATAGTCTGTATCAAAGCGAGAGCAGGCAATTCGCTCGTTTTGCTGTTTACTTCCGAAGAACCCGATGGTAAACCGCCGGAATAGTCGAGTCAGTAGCTAAACAGATTGCAGTCGGAAGGTCCATTTGGTCAATGCTGATGCCAGCTTACTGAGGTTCAGTGCTGGTTTTACGCCTCGGAGCTGGGTGCAATGTCGTCACTGGCCTCGCTCCGACGTGCACAACGATGCCAGTCTCAAGCTGGACCGAAGGGTGTAAGCAATCATTTTCGTGGGAGACATGCGGGGGGAGTCGAAATGGAGGTTCTTAGCTTCGGCACCGTGTTCTGTGCACGTTACGTCAGCTATGTGGAATGAGCTTATGTTCGTTTCGCCTCCGTTGACGATGCTCCTCGAGACTTCCAATCACTTCTCATTTGCGACCCCTCAAGCAAGCTTGAATCCTGTTGATGCTTCAAGGTGTTCTGTTGAAGGCTGGAGGAGAGCTTCCGGGGCCAGCGGAGTCGCTTGGAGACCAGGCAAGGTCAGCGGTAACGTCTTACGTGTTTTTCTTTCTGCCGTCCATGCGAATGCCAGGATCTGATCAGCACCAAGGGTCATGCAGAGGTTGCCGAGGCCTTGCCGGAAGACTGGCAGCTGTCGGCGCGCATGGAAGATTTCGCGTGGCCCAACTGTGTTGGTTCTGCGATGTTCCGCTCAAAGAGTTCCAGTATCAAAGCAGCATGTCACAGCTTCATCCGAGGTTTCCATTCTGGCTGGACATTGTGTTGGTGCATCGAACAGAACCTGTCGCGAAAACAAATATGCTTGGCAGCATGCATCGTGCACGCCTAGACTTAGTCGATGCAGGATCTGAGAGCCGAATAGTCTTTGCAAGACCCCCTTTTTCGCGCAGACCCTGCTGCCTCTCCGCAAATGTTGCCGCATCGCCTCAAGCTTAGCCATGCCATGAAATAGAAAATCCACGCTCCGCCAGCCGCCAGCCTCACGGCAAACCTTCCTTGCACGCACCAGTTGGCATCCCTGCGAAGGCCTATAGGACCTTCAAATGCCTTCGGTTCTTCCTGCTGGGAAGATCTGTGGCTGCGTAGGTGGGCAACTAGAGCCCAAAGGCGACTTCACAAGGGCAGCTTCCTCCTCGATTACTCAGCTAGCACCCGTCGCGCTTCACGGTGATGCACAACAACAACTACAACACCGCTTTAAGCAATGTGGCCACGCTGCAATGTGCTTGCCTATGTTCGACATCCCCGTTGCGCAGTGCATGCTGCCGCTTCTCCGCAGAGTCCGCAAACATGGACACCACATTGTTTCGTAGGGAAGGCTTCTTAATTTGACAGGCTGCAAATATGTGTAGATGCATACATACAGGTATCTGAGGGTCGATGATGGTGATCAAATGTCCGTCTCCGTCTCTGCAGCCGCAGGTGTTTATTCGTATCAGTTCATACCCGTCATATCCTACAGTGCTGACCGCGCCCAGTCATTGTGCACAACTTCCAATCAACTCTCAGCCAGACTGATCCTGGACAACGTTTGTGTTGCTGTGGGCCAGGTCTCGCTTTCTCGTCGGTGGTGACGTTGCTGCAAGTGGCTTTCTGACGTTCTGATCTATGGACTGACTTCGCCGGTCCAATGCCTGGCAACATAGGCTCCCTGCTGAGGTTCTCCAGCAGGCAGAACCGATATTTGTGGCGATGGGGTGCCAGCGCTCGACCAAGTCAGAGGGGCGAAGGATGGCGAAGGTTCCAAAAGAGCAGCGCTCATGGCGATTTCAAGCTGAAGTACTCGGAATGATAGGTGGCGGTGTGGAAGAGCAAGTTCAATCACACAGGGGATCGTAGAAGTCACTGATGACATAGCCTGGGACGTAGGTTCGGTGCCGCAGTCTTTCCCGAAGCCCCGTCTCGACTCACATCCCATGTTCGGCAGACTAGGCCACGGGAATGGTGCGTCAGAGGCTTGGTCACTGCGCAGCTTGCTGGACGTGCATTTGCGCTTCGACCATCACGCGAAGTAGTGTCGTCAGCATGTGCATCATGACCTTGCTTCCTTGTGTTACTCGTTCGGAGACATGTTGGGAAGAAGCAGTCGGCCAAGGCGAGAATCTTCGGAACCTCAGTTGGTCGAGGAGGCAGCCGACGAAAAGCTCAGATGGTGACCTTTCCCTGGGAGAGACAGATAGAGAAAGAGAGGTGGTGTACGGCCTGAAAGAACATGCAGAGACGGAAGGGATAAGAGACACTATTCAGATGGGTGGCTCCTTCGAAAGTGGGAATGACGGGACACGTGATCAGCGTTAAGCATGCCCTGAACACCGCCGAACGATCGGACACGGAAGGGGTTGCCACCTCCGCGAGACACAGACAGAGAGAGAGAGAGAGCATGTGTCTTTTACCCATCAGTCGTGCTTCAAACCCAAGGCCGGTCAGAAATGCTATCGCAGAAACTCCCTAGCATCCCGCCCAATAATGAGTGCACGGAACAACTGAGCTCATCCCTGAAAATGAAAGATGAGGCAGAGAGGACTCGCGCGGGGGGCATGGGGCCTCAAGCCCACATGCCTGCCAGCAAGGGAGAAGAGGGAGAAGAAGGTGCGACCGCATGTAGAAGAAAAGTATAGAAAAGTATAACTGAGCTCGGTCGTGTTCCCTTGTGTTGCTTCGCTTCGGTGCCCGTACCTCGACCCACCCAACGAGGAGCGGATGGGCAGATCTCTCGGAGTATCTCGAACCTTGCGGGTCCCGGGCCTTCGGGCCCGGGGTCCATGTGGCTCCAAACACCCCTCGCAAGCAAGCACGAAAGAGAAGGCCACTGCATTTCCACACAAATGATTGGTTTAATCACTACTACTTCGAGTGCTGCTACTGCTCCTGCTACGGCTACTGCTGCTACCTTTTTTCCTACTACTTCTACTACTATTACTACTTCTATTACTACTACTACTACTACTACTACTACTACTACTACTACTACTACTACTACGACTACTACTACTACTACTACTACTACTACTACTACTCCTACTCCTACTCCTACTACGACTACTACGACTGCTACCACCACCACCACACCACCACCACCACCACCACCACCACTTCTACTACTACTGCTACTCGGCACAAGACTAGCAGCACCACAATGCCGGAACGTGCTGAGCAGGTGCAAGCAATGTCAGACTCGCACAGACTCAGACTCGATCAAATTGGCAGGCCCGTGGCGTCACAGGTGCTGCGTGCGGCCCTTCCCACTCAGCGACATTCTCGGATAAGTTGGGCTAAGCTCTGGCTTAAGGCGGCCAGGCATCCCATGATCTGTTGTTTCAACCAGCCCAGCTCGTGCTGCATCATCATTGCTGCTGCTCGAGGCCTTCGTCATCGACGGCAGGCGAGTCGTAGAGCATGCCCTCGCAAGCAATCGAGCCTGCCAGCGCGCTTAAGTCAGGCTCTATACGTACGGCTCCAACCGTCATGGGAAACTTGGCCGCGAGGCGCATTGGCGGTAATCTCTGCTTAGTCAATATGGAATGTACCGCTCGTGGTATTGATGTTCTCGGCAAGCCTGCCTCCCACATTCAGCTTAAAGCCGGCACTTCAGGGAATTTGTTGTTAGGTCTTTGTCGGCCCGATGCAGCCCTTTCGGTTTCGAAGCCTCGACAGTGCCGCAAACCGTCATTTGGCTAATGCTACTTATCGTCCCGTGTTTGCGGCCAATCTTTGTGACTTTAGTATCCTATTATGCACTGGACCAAACAACCTGCATGCACGGAAAGTGGTGACATCACCAGTTCAGGCCACAGGCTGCGATTGTTGTCCACATGCGGTTCCATACAACTGACTATGGAATTGCCTGGGGTTTGCTAACTCAGACAGTCGATGAATGACACGCAACCCCGAAGCCAAGGCTGCAAATAGGGTACGTCGTTGGTACAGCCAAATTGCAGGGCGACGGTGTCCTGCAAGAACCTGGCCCTGTAAGCCTGCAGGCAGGGAGTTTGTGTACCAGCGTGTTTTCTCGTGTTCGTGTGTGCGTAGGCGTAGGTGACTGTCTCTGTGTGTCTGTGTGTGTGTGTGTGTGTGGGTGTGGGTGTGGGTGTGGGTGTGGGTGTGGGTGTGGGTGTGGGTGTGGGTGTGGGTGGTGTGTGTGTGTGTGTGTGTGTGTGTCTGTGTGTGTCTGTGTGTCTGTGTGTCTGTGTGTGTGTCTGTGTGTGTGTGTGTGTCTGTGTGTGTGTCTGTGTGTGTGTGTCTGTGTGTGTGTGTGTGTGTGTCTGTGTGTGTGTGTGTCTGTGTGTGTGTGTCTGTGTGTGTGTGTGTGCGTGTATTTCTGTGTGTATGTCGGTCGGTCTGGATGCACACAATGCATGCATGGATCCGTGCGTGTATGTGTTGGTGACGACATTAGTATAGCCTGCCTACCTGCCTGACTGTCGGTGCGTCTGTAGGTACATAGGCATCTTCGCATGCATCAAAGCATGTATTAGTGTATCTATGCACGCATGGATGAATGTATGTCAATGTATGTATGAAGTGACTTCGCACGTGTTTGCATATGTGCATGTGCGTGTGATTCTGATTTGTGTGTGTGTACACAGATGCGTGTACGCATGCCACACGCATGTAGGTATGCATGCATTGTCACACTCATGTACGTTTAACCGAACGCACACATGCCAGCATGCCTGCACGGATGTGTATGCATGTTTGCATGTACACGTGCCCGCCTGTTGAATGAATGCATGACTGACTGGCTCCATGACTGATGGATGAATGACTGAATGAATAATGAGTGAATCGTCGGCTGAATGGCTGAATGAGTTGATGAGTGAAGTAATGAAGTAATACATGATTGGCAGGAATGAACGAACGAATGCACGACTGAATGAGTCAATGAATGAATGAATGGAACGGTTGAGATGTGTGAGTGGAATGAACGAAATGCAACGACATGGAACGAAGACATGAGGGAAGGAAGGGACTGGAATGGATGGAGGGTTGAATGAACGAACACATGTATACGCGAATAGATGATTACAGAGTGTGCGAGTCAGTGAGTGAATGAAACGAAAAATAGCTATTGAATGAATGAAAGAAAGAATGAATAAATTAATGAACGAACGAAATGAGTGAGTGCATAAATGAATGCTTGATTGAAACCTACGAATGAAAAGACGGGAATCCCTGAATGGGATGGAACAGATGGATACATGAATGAACGAATGAATGAATGAATGAGTGAATGAATGAATGAATGAGTACATAACTGAGTGACTGAGTGAATGAATAGCATCAAACAAATGAGTGATGGAATGGAATGATATGAAGCATTGAATCAACCAATGAATGAGCGAAATGAAATGAAACGCGGGATGGATGGAAGATGCAATAAAATGAAAGGAATCGAGTGCAGTGAATGAAATTGAACGGTAGCTTAGGCTTGCAGTGCGTAGTGTTTTCACCGCGATGTACGCTTTGGCTCGGGGGCGACCCATGAGGAACATTAGTGCAACCCTTAGTAAGGGGGGCAACAGTGCAAAGATCGGGACTGGCTTTGGAACTTCGCGCGCACAAGGGGTGGGAGCAGCCGTGAGTGAGAAACTTGAAATGGAATGAGTTGGAATGAATGAGTGAATGACTCAACGAGCGGGTCAGTGAGTGAATGAATTCATTCCTGAATGGTTTAATCTTCACAGCTTTGATTGCCATGCAGGGCTCGCAAGGAGTTTCTTCAACTCTAAGGCCCCGGATGGTCACCGGCCCCTTCCCGAGCTCATCTCCTTGGGAGGTCAAGAACTTGGGAGCCTGTTGAGCCTTGCATCTCGATGTCGCGAATTTCACTACAAGAACAGCTTAGCGGGATATATCGCTTAGGCAACCACTCCGCCGTCATCACCGAAGGTCCGAGTCCTGGCTCGTGTTTATCTGCAGAAACCATGTCAAGATGAGGAAGGCTAGATTCAAGAAGGCGCGATGTGCTTGATGTCTACCATCGTCGACTACCAAGGCGGCGTGCTTTGGACCTGGGGATACGGTCGGCCCAGCTCTTGTAGCTCTTGAGCAGACACTTCTTTAGGTTGTTCTTTGCTTGTATGGCATGGCTGGCGGCTTGATACCAGTAGCTTGATCCATGCTCCCACCGGAACTAGCGCAAAGCGAACCGCTGCAGCAGAAAGAAGGGTCAGCAGTCCGCAGGTGGCAGCTTCTGGTACGGCGGTGGCGCCCTAGGCCTAGCACCGAGAACGCAAGGGCCAATCAATGCTCTGCACCGAGCAACTCCGAGCAACCTCTTCTTGGCAGGTCTTGGGAAGCGCTCGCAGGTCGACAGCTTGGGCCTTGGCGGGATGCTGTCAGTATCGCACTTGCTAACAGAAGTTTGGCCGTATTTCCAGCATCCTTGCCGAGTAGTTGGAATGATCGTGCTAAGTGTCGGCAGCGCCCTTCACTTCGCAAGTTGGGGGGATGGACTAGGACTATAGGAATCGAGCTCAGCAGCTCGTATATACATAGTTTAAGTCTGTGTGTTGCAGTGTACCTTTTGGATGCCGAAGTCCTGCCACACACACACACATATATATATATATATACAAGCACGCACCGGGGCACTTACATGGAAGCACAGATTGATTACACCTTGCATGTATATGTTTCCGGCTCGTGGGGTGTCCCGCTTGAAGCTTTCGCATGCTCCTGTAGCTAGCCTCGTGCCGCTGGACTTTGTCCTGTATCCGTGAAGGCTTCTACCGGTCCAAGCATTTCACGTATGTGTGTGTGTGTGACTGTGATATATACCGATATGTAATTCTAAACATCTGCATAGAACCACAATGAACCACACCACTCCCGGGGCAGGCTTCCGCCCCCTTTTTAGCAAATAGCCGGATACCCGCCCACTACACGGTTTGGCTCCCCTGCAGTACAAACGGGTCATCCTCCCCTATGGAACAGCTTTTGACTCGTTAATAGCATGGCTTGGAGGGGTTTAGAAGCTGGGAGAGGGGTAGGTTGGAACACAGAGCGCACAACCACACCGCATTGTATACATATGACATATGTGTGTGTGAGTACATATATGTATAAATATATGTGAATACACGCACACACACACACACTGTGCTATCGCATACACGCCTACATCCTCAACATGTTAGGGACTTCTCTGACTCCTGGCTGTGGGGAAGCAGGGCTTCTCTGCCCGCCGACGAGTCCACAGAGCCAGGCTGATTTCTTCTAGCGACCACGCGCATCCTGAAAGCAGCATGGATGTGACACCTGACCGACTGACACCCTCAGCGTGAAACACTTAGACTTAGACTTCGCATTTCACTTAGACTTAGAACCCCTTTCGAGTCCTCGATGCACTCGACGAGTGGCTGCGGTGGGCCGCGAGGGACTGCGTCTAAGGTTTTCGGAAGTGACGTAGCTCTAAGTAACCTGTCAGAGAGCTTGTGTTCTTTTCGCCGTGGGGGACCTCCCAAATACCCCTACCAGGCATGTCAGAAAAGCCTGCACGATCTCGATGCAGGGGCAAGGAGCGGATGATTCCTTGCCGTTCCAGCAGAATTGAACATGCCATTCATCCCACGATCGCACATGAGGCCCCGAAATGGTCATGAGCTTCGTCAACCACGGGATGGAAGTTGAGCAGGTACCTGCATCTGCATCCTTTCCGTCTTTTCCGGTGTTCTTCTGGTTTTCATGGAGTCAACCAGGCTTTTGGCCAAGAGCCTGCTTCCCACCCCTCAACATCTCAGACTCGCATTGCTCACGATCACAAGTCGGTTTCGGGCGACCAGTCTGTCGGCACAGAAAGCCTTGCTTCAATGCGAATTGAATGCAATGCACCGCAGCCAGGCTTAATGACACAGCTACAGAAGCAACTGCAACTCAACTCCTCAAGACATGCAGCGTTCATGCCATGTCACTTCGTAAGCCCGTTGCTGTACTTCTGATAACGCATAAGTTCGAGTGTGCTTTTGTGCTCGAGATACTGTCCGGAAAGTGAAGCCCATGAACTGTTGGAACGTCCGACGTCTCCGTCGACGGTTCATTCTGGCAGTGCCTCGATGCAGAGCGGGAAGTAAGGCTTCAGGAGATCTTGTGCACAGCAGGGCGATTTTGCCTTGCATGGACTGCCAGTCGATGTCGCCAGCTTCCACAACGGTGGATTTCGCCCTTTCAGCAATCTGGGAAGTCTGACTTGTCAGGGAGCTTCAAGGAAGAAGCACCTCGGAAGCACTTGAGCTCAAGCCACATATCTAGCAATGAGAGCATTCAGGTCGAAGAGGGCACACTAGCCAATTGATTCTCCGTTGGTAACAACAGGTACTATAAAAGGCTAACTTGCCACAACAGCGGTCAAGCTAAGCCGTAGAAGCTTTTGGATCTGCATCCCTGTGCCAAAGATACCCCAGATACTGTTTGTCCAGATTGGACATGAAATTGACTGGCCCGCCCAAGTAAACGTCGCCGTAGATGAGTTCAGCATGGCCCTTGGCTGTTTGTTTTTAGTAATTCGCCTCGCCATGCAGTCGTTCCCTTCGGCAGACATGGTTTTGCAGCTGCTTGGTTGCAGACCTATTGCTGGGGGCCGGACCCTGCACTAGGGGCGTCACCTGGCCACGAATGGAGCCTGGAGAAACCTCTTGCCACTGGCAGCCACGCACTGTCTTGCGGGTGTTTCTTCCTCTGCTTATGCTGGTTTGCATAGGCAGAACCTATCTCGCGGACAGCCGACTCTCGTGGGGTATGTCGGTGGTCCGAGGAGAGATGAAGCGTTTGGCCCCTGCTCCTATCTTCGATTTGATGGGGCAATTGAGTACCGATAGGAACGGGACTCTGCAACTGCCTTCAATCGACGATGCTGCAGTAACTCCACTCGTCGTACCTAGCTTCCCAGCAGCCCCGTCCACGCAGCAACCTTCTCCCACGTCAATCTCGTCATCCCCGGCCCCAGTAAGTACAGGCATTATATCGGTGCCTACAACCACCCCCACCTCCTCCACATCCATGCCTGTGACGGTATCCAAGCCCGCGCTCTCTACCGACATGCCTTCTGTGTTTTTCCTGGCCGATCAGCAAAGTCTGCCTCGCAGCAACACCAAGTGCCCGCCAGAAGTTCGCGTTAGTGAGTGGAATGGCAGAATTGGCAACCACTTCTTTCAGGTGAGCCAGGCCATTGTAGCAGCGCTTTTCTGCCATATTACGCGTGTCAAATTTCCACCACATATCAGCACACGCTACCAGCAGCAGGATGGTTTGCTGGACATGCCTGAAGAGCTTACCTTGCCGGGAGTCGACCGCCATGAAGAGTTGAAAGTCCCAAGCAGCTGTCCGAAGCAGCTAACTCACAAGTGGTACCACCAGCATTGCCAGATGGTACCCGCATGGCACCACCAGCAGGTAATGCACAAGTTTCTTTGGCCATACCTGGGTCAGACCCTTACAGACCTTGTGCATTCACCACAACAATCTGCAGCTGACGCTGTGCTGACTATCCATTTACGTGCCGATGATATTCGACAGTATGGCAGGTATGAGTGGGCTCAGCCACCTTGCAGCATGTATCAAAAGATTATTTCCGACTATGGCTACAAGACCTTGATGATCGTATCAAAGAGCAATCCTGTAACGCGGCGCTCGGATGCTGCTTGTGACAGCTGGCTGGTGGACTATGGGCGCACACACGGCATCAACATTCTCCGGCCAAGGAACCTATCATTAGCTGGCGAACCTTGGCCGAAGTAGAAGGCAGTGAGAAGGGACACCCTGTCACAACTGATCAGATGCGGAAGCTGCGATTCTGGGCTTTGACACATGCATTCCCAGCGAGTTGCTGGCAGCATCTAGCGGCAGTATCAACTTCTAATCAGACATGCGTACCAAAAACCTAGGACTTGGCAACAATGATTCGTGCGAAGAAGCTCGGCAACGGGAAGTGGGGAAGGTTTGGTCCTTGCAGTCGAGTCGTACGTTGCAATTACTGAATGCCCACATTCTTTGGCGAGTCTACATGTGGCATTAGTAGGCTGATTACCTTTCAATGTGCTTTCGCAGTTGAAGCTTCCTCGGCCGGACATGCGCAACGAAGCCTCCCAACACAGTGCTGGGACTAGGAACTTCGTGCTGTCCTTCTCCAGCTTTTCTTTGTCAACTGCGCTGCTCAGCAACGACCTGCAGGCTAGCCAGCCCGCCACACGTGCCCACGTCAGACCGTTGAGTGTCAATGTGTGCATTTTCATGAAGGCCGCGGGCAGGAGCATGAGATCCGGCCTTGCTATCCATCTAATCGATTCGCACATCCGCTGGCAATCCTTCAGCGTCACACCGGTAACTCTCAAGTCGAAAGAGTAACCTGTGACTTTTGCAAGCGGCAGGTGATGTACCGGCGGCGTGACGCGAAATGGTTCAGCATATTGCATGCCATCGTGAACTGCAATGCCCCTTGGCAGCCGGGGCAGTTGGCAAGTGGCTAGCCATGGTATCCAGTCCAGGACTCTTCCAGGGCAGATGTGCACATGTGGACATGTTTCTGTTGTTGTGGGGCAGCTGGGAAACGGCACCGTTTTGCTCATCTCAGGTGTGGACAGGTGTTACCCTGTACGAGTACAACACAAGCCTGCAAGAAGAACGGAAAGGTTCGCCAAGCGAGTGGTTGAAAACCTTCCCCTTGGATCAAATCACTGGGCCTTTCACTTGTCAATACGGCAGTGATATCAAGCCAGAGATATGAACTTGAGAGAAGCTCGCTCCGATTGTTAATGCAAGAAAAGTGCCATGGATCTTCTGAAGACTGGATGCCTGGAACTTTGGGTGCAGTTGCCTGAGGTAGCTCGAAACCTTCGGAAAGCCTTAAAGCCCCGCGCTAGAGCGTGAACGCCGAAACCCCCGCGCTAAGCAACCCATGGAGTCACCGATGAAGCGCACCTGGTTTGGATTATCCGAGTGAGGCGGTACATTTGAACGAATTGGCCAGCGGCAAGGGCCCAATAAGGCGGTGTAGGCAAGCAGGCTTGTGTGAGCAGCAGTGCTGAGCGCAACTCTATTGACTTGTGTCTTGATTCTTCGTAGGGGGGAAGGAGGTAGCATTCTGTTTGCGTTTAGCAGTCATCCCAAAGGAAAGGTCCGGGAGCATGTGCCCGTGAGACTGAAGCTGAGAAGTATTATGAAGAAAGGTCTAGCAACAGCCGGGATAGGCATCAGCAAAACTCAGTTAGGAATTAAACAAATATCAAAATTCTGAAGCGCTGCAAAATACACTGCTACGATTTGAGAATGGCTCCTAGTCATCTGAGCCGGGGATCTAAATGTTCGCCTAGAGCGAATTTATCCCCATCACACTTACTGCTCCTGTTAGAGCTGCTGTCACCCGTGCGATTGTATTTATCACGGTTTGACTAGTAGAGCAATTGTGGGAAAATTTGCATTGTTGCAACGACTAGTACAGTGCACTGTTGCTATGGCTACGCCGACTATGCCTATGACGATGATGATGACTGCTAGTATTAGGCATGATTGTCATTTTGTTACTTTTTTGTCGATTACTAAGCTATTTCGATTAGTGCGATGCCATTTTTGCCTTCACTGTTACTAGTACCTTTTGCAGCTACTGTTGCTGTCTCTATCGAACACGTATACTGCTACGGCCAGTGCTACTGACCCAAAGTGCTGCGATGCTGGTTGGACAGCAGAAAACCTTATCGCCGTTGAATTTTGTTTTGGCCCGAAAGTTGTGATCTTGAGTATACATAGCCTCCAAGATAGATGAGGTTTTGCTGATCCCTGTTTTGATTTGCTTTTGATTGTAGACATTTGATTTGTTTTTGATCCCTGTTTCCCCAAATTCATATTTCCCACAAAAGGGGGCATGCCGTGTCCAAAGCCGGCGCAGGGGGTGCGCGGCATGCGGGTGGCATGCAGGTGGGCCGCGCCGTGTCCGCGACCTGTGGAGGGCGCAACGGCACACAGTCGGCGTGCAGGTGGCATGCATGTGCCGCGCATCATGTCTGCGGCCGCATCGGCATGAAAAGGCCTGTTGGTGACATGCGGGTCTTTTGATGCAGTCGGCAGGCAAGTGGGGCGCTCTTCGAATTGACACGTTGCTACCGATGAGGCAGCTAAAGTTTAGTTGAGTTGAGAGCTTCGAGGCTGAAGCTGCTCAAAACTAGCCGGCCTCAGTGTGGCAAGGCCACAAGAGCGAACTCTTTCAGAAAGCAAGGGCTCGATTTCCTTTTCTGCTACTAGTCCTTTTGTACCAGGGTCATGTGCAGGTGGTGGCCAGCCGAGAACCGATTGCACGCAAGAACATGTAGGGCAGCAACCGTGTGCCTGGAGGGTGAAAATAAAAGAGCGTCGCCCGTGGATTCTGCGATTGCTGATCCAATCTAGTCTGGTATTCGTAATGTTTGCAAGTGGGACGGTATTGCTGGTTTCAAACTGAGAGTTGCTCCACACTGAGACCGCGGCCCGAGTCGTGTGGCGTGTGTCGTGTTTCCGAGGCTCTTGGCCTTGGCCTTGCACTTGCCGGGCTTGGCCGCACGATGGCTATGACGTCGCAGGTCGCCAAAGCTCGACAAGGCGCCGGGCCCGAGGACTACGTCCTGGCAGCTGGGCACAAGACTGGTAAAACATGCATCGTCGCCTGCACACAGACTCCGAGTTGTGAGTTGTAAGGGTCGAGGCGGAAGCACCCGAGACCTCCCGAGAGTCACCATGCATCAGCAGAGTCGGTGCGGCATGGCCAAGCAACCGTAGCGACTTCGCTAGGGCATGTAATGTTGTCTCCTTAATTGAATGAGAACTTGCTTCGAGTAGTAGTAGTAGTAGTAGTAGTAGTAGTAGTAGTAGTAGTAGTAGTAGTAGTAGTAGTAGTAATGGTAGTGGCTAGTAGTGGCTAGTAGTAGTAGTAGTAGTAGTAGTAGTAGTAGTAGTGGTAGTAGTAGTAGTAGTAGTGGCTAGTAGTAGTAGTAGTAGTAGTGGTAGTAGTAGTAGTAGTAGTAAGTAAGTAAGTATGTAAGTAAGTAAGTAAGTAAGTAGGTCTTCGTCGTAGTCGTAGTGGTAGTGGTGGTGTCGTGGTGTAGTGGTGTAGTGGTAGCAGTCGTAGTAGTAGTAGTAGTAGTAGTAGTAGTAGTAGTAGTAGTAGTATAGTAGTAGTAGTAGTAGTAGTAGTAGTAGTAGTAGTAGTAGTAGTAGTAGAGTAGTAGTAGTAGTAGTAGTAGTAGTAGTAGTAGTAGTAGTAGCAGCAGCAGCAGTAGTAGTAGTAGCAGTAGTTGTAGCAGCAGCAGCAGGAGTAGTAGTAGTAGCAGCAGCAGTAGTAGTAGGTCTACATTGCCGACGTCTCGCACACAATCCGGGCGTCTGACGATGAGGCAGACTGGATGTCCGGCGACTTTGAGCCGCTCCACGCATTGGTGGACCCCCTATCCATAAGAAAACTAAGTCACAAAGGAGCTGTACTCATCCATGCCTTCCAGATTGATCACTTCTCCAGCGAACTTTGTGCTGCTGGTAGCTGTCTGTACATCCTTGCCTGATGCACACAGTCACTGCCAAGCGAAGCTTTCGCAGCTCCCGACGCTCACGAGCCCATCACACAGCCACTGCAGCAGTGCTCATGGATGCCATTGCAGGAGCACCCACAGCCAGGTGTTTGACAACACGGCCCTTTCAGTGCCATCAGACCTGAGTGCGAGCAACAGCCAGACGCGGTGTAACTGGCAGCGAAGCAGCATGGCGCATGCCGGCGTACAAGAGTGATCGGAACAGTCTGCTATCTTGCACTGATCTGACTGGGCAGCATTCAGGATTGCGTCACTGTACAGGCCGAACCACAGCTGCGCAAACGCCGCATGAGCTACAACAGCCCCAAAGCAAACCCAGAGGAGGGAACTAAACCCCGAGTGGCAAAGAGGAAGTCGACCTAGCATCCACAAGACTCGCCGGAGCACACACACGGCAGTGAGTCGTGCCAAGCATCAGGTTTGGGCACCTGACCACTAGCGGGAGGCAACCGAAAGCCCAGTTCAGGCAAAGCTTCCCAGCGCCCCACAGTGCTGTTCCAATGTGAACACGTGTTGTCTTGTATGCTCCCCATAAACCTCGTCTGACTTGTCGAGCACGAGTGACAAAAAATGCCACCAAAGTGACCCGATCATGCTGGCTCCAGGCTCGCGTCTGATGCAACGTGCTTTTGGCATCCAGCTTGAGTGCCTAAAATTGAACGGCATACTTGTCACCTGGACAAATCTGTCCTGATGCTCGACGTAGATCGTACCTTCTCCTGCAGCCCAAACTTCTCCGCCCGCAAATAGCGACAAAGCAGTGATCAAATTTGGAAGCTCCCCATTGCCGCCATCAACATGAGGACGGGTGGAGTAGTTGTAGTGGACAGGTGTGGTCGTCCATCTATGATCACCACAAATATGAGAGACAAAGAAGTTGAGCAGCCGAGCAACGTGTGGATGCGTCAATGTGCATCTGCAGAGGCCGTGCAGCGGGCCACGTGCAAATGCCCCCACCCCAGGCCTCGGTGCCTCGCACTGAAGAATAAGAGCTACCTGTCTTACCGCGCTCCAAACAGGCGCGTGACCCTCTTGAAGGATTCCCCCAGCCAACAACTCGGCAGAACCTCGGGCAGTCTTTGCCATAGATCGGCAGTGGAAGCGCCGGATGCACAAGATTATCAAATGCAGGGTCAATGCGAATAATGCGAATGGAGTACTCGAGAAGGTGGCTCCACGACTCCTCGCTCAACGCTTACCTCGCCATGTACAACAGATCATTTTTGGGCATCAGGCCCAGTTTGGCTGGCAATGTTCCCTGAGTTTCCTCCACATGAGAACACGCAAGCATCCAAGCAACAAGGAGGTCTCAAGCACATCAAAATACACGTCCCTCGGCAGAGGCAGAATCTCCGTCATTGAGCCACCACAGAACTAGGCAGCTCACTTTTGACACATGGCATGTGATGCTGGATGCTGGATGCATGCGTCTGCAGACTGAACACTCTTGAGGCCGCGGCCCAAAGAACGCGGACGTTAGTGACCCGATCCTCGGAAACACTGGAAATGCAGCACTGAGACAGGCAGAGTTGCAATGCTCAATGCCGCTGAGGAAACATGCTTATCTGGCTTGCAGCTATACAGAAGGGAGAACAATACTTCAGCGTTCATGCGGTGTACGGCGCCTTGTGCCACTGCCCATGACACGCTTCGGTGAAGGCAGAGGTCAACGCTCTCATGCCTGTGTCGGCGTCCTCTAAGAGCCCTTGTACTCCCGAGGACAGCTACGCCCTTGCTGGATTCTGCCCTTTATGAGGTCCTCTCGGCCCATGGGCGTGCCGAGCCAACACCAAGCCTGCATGCAGGAGTTGGCATAGCAAAGATTGCAACCTATCGGATTGGCAAGCTTGGCTTGTGGTAGCGGAGCAGCTGGTGCCACACACAGCCGTGCTTCCCCTAGCGCGGCATCCACAGCCGTCGACCGACCTAGGCCGACGACTTGTCCTTCCAGCCCGCCCCCCTGTCCTTGCTCTTCCAGTCGCAATACGACATGTTCATGTACTTCTGCTCCAACAGCTTTGCGAGAGGTTGTCTCACCCCCCTTTCCGGGCGCACTCGAAAGCGCAGAAGCTTGCAGCAGGAGTTGCCGGATAGTCGGCTGAAAATCTTGTGCACCTCGTCCGCCGCCTGACTCCGAAGACTGATTGTCAGGACGGACGAACCGGGCAATCTCTGCCCCTTCCAGCTCGTCGTACTGCTTCGTGCATTTGAAGTTCTGGAGGATGTTGGGGGACTCCAACGTGTCCAACATGGTCATGATCTCCATGTGAGTCAAGGGATCCAAGGTGGTCGATGGGACCTGCTGTTTGAGCTTCAGGTCCCACTGATGAAACAGCCAGGCCGGGTTCAGAGCCATGCCGCCATCCTGCAACCAGCCCTTCGTCTTGCAGGTCTGCGTGCGCTGATCGCTCCGGATCACCTCGTCCATGGCCCGCTTGAGCTGTCCCACCAGACCGCCCATTCGCGCGTAGTAGTAGTAGTAGTAGTAGTAGTAGTAGTAGTAGTAGTAGTAGTAGTAGTAGTAGTAGTAGTAGTAGTAATTAGTAGTAGTAGCAGTAGCAGTAGCAGTAGCAGTAGCAGTAGCAGTAGCAGTAGCAGTAGCAGTAGCAGTAGTAGTAGTAGTAGTAGTAGTAGTAGGAGTAGTAGTAGTAGTAGTCGTCGTAGCAGTAGTGGTAGTCGTAGTCGTAGTCGTAGTCGTAGTCGTAGTCGTAGTAGTAGTAGTAGTAGCAGTAGTATCAGTAGTAGTAGTAGTAGTAGTAGTAGTAGTAGTAGCATCAGTTGTTCGTCGTAGTAGTAGTAGTAGTAGTAGTAGTAGTAGTAGTAGTAGTAGTACGTAGCACGTAGTATGTGGTACTAGTATTAGTAGTTGTCGTCGTTAGTTGTAATCGTAGTAGTAGTAGTCGTCGTCGTCGTTGTCGTCGTCGTCGTCGCAGTAGTAGTAGTGGTAGGGGTAGTGGTAGTAGCAGTAGCTGCAGCAGCAGCAGCAGCAGCGCCAGCAGCAGTAGCAGTAGCGCTAGGAGGCACGCTCCCCCCCCCCACAGAGCCAGTGCGAGCACTTGTATAGTCAGGCAGCTTGGCGAGTTCAGCTTTGAAAGGGGGGCTGCTTTAGCGGTTTGGAATCTTGGGTAGAAGTTAGCGACCCTCAACAAACCTGGGACTTGCAAACCTGTGACTAGTTTCGGACGAGCTCCCTGCGGCAGGCGGGAAAAAACTACAGTGGGCTCTTAGCCGTCTCAAGAGCACATCCATTTTGCTTGATATTTGTAGTACTTTCGTAGTTTCCTTCCACTTCTTGTCGTCTCAATATTCACAATTCGACTTTGCAAACTCGAGCTTTGGATTTTGGGGAGTTCAGGGGATGGGGTGGATGGGCGGGTGGGGGAGGGGTGGGGGACAGGACGACACGCCCATACTGCAGATCCAAACACCGAAACCCCAAAGCCCTGAACCCAATATCTAAACTTAAATCCTCAAACCCCGAAATCCTAAACCCCAAGAGCTCCCCTAACCCGAACGTCACCTACTTTCCCAGCCCCTTTCGGAAGGGCTGGTGCTGGCGCGGGGCTCGTGCTGGGACCCCGCACTCATTAGGGGTCGGCAAGAGTAGCTGCTGCCAAGGTGATGCATAAGATGTCGCGTGGCTGCAGCTCAGTCCGTGATGTGCACAGCTCTAGGAAGGTTGCCAACACCAGGTTGTTGATGTCGCTCGAACAGATCGAGCTCAGCCATGGACTATGGGGGTTAACAAATATTTAGACGCTGCATCCTGCTTATCAGATGTGCATAACTTGGGTTTGCTCCACCACGGCCTGGTAGATGCGGAGCTGCGGAAAGCAGAGCAGACTCAGCAGGTGCCCCTTTGCACAAAGGGCTTGGTTCGCCATGGAAGAGTCAGGGTTGAACTTCAAGCTGAAGGAGGTCGGTTTAGGTCCGCCCGGCTCGCTTGATGACTTAGCACAACAAGCACGGCATGCAGATTGACAGTGTTTGACGGCTGTGATCGTGGAGAAGCTTGCTGGCTTGCGGTTCAAGTGGACAGCTGCACGACATTCCAACATCTGCTCGGGACTGCTGCCAGCAGGAAAAGGCTGCTCTCGGACTCAAGACTCCCCGACCAGCATGAGGGCATCCCGCCAGCGGCATGCACTTCTGGAGTCTTCTAGACTTAAACACTTCTTATCGCTGCAAGTAAGCGTAGACATCCGGGCAGTGCTCTTAGCATGCCTTGTAGTTGCACGGTTTTCCAGACTCGGTCTAGCCTAGACGGCTTTTGTGAGCCTTTTTGGCGATGGAGATGGAGAGCGGCAAGAAGATGCGGCGGAAGATTGTGTCCCTGATGGACTTGACAGCTTTGGACAGGGAGAAGGACACCAGCAGCTCTGTGGGCGAGCTGGTACTTCAAGGCGAGAGCCCGGCATCCTATTGACAAAGTGTGTTGGTGAATCCAATTCTCTGTCGCAGCAGCTTCTGCGCAGGTTCTGGCAGTAACGCCCTCCAAACTGCCGTGCCGGCGGTTTGCGTTTTTCCAGAGTTCATTCAAGCGGCGAAAGCGAAACTGGGATGATTTGAGCGGTGAGTCTGCCGAGCATGGGAACCGTTGTGCGCAGTTTCCGCTGGTCAGTATGCTGATATAAAGGGTTGCACCATTGGTTTTGTCCCGAACCTCCAACTGCATCTTAAATACACTGAACCCAGAGGTGCGATGGTTTTGGCTGGGATGGTTTGGTTTTAGTACTTCTAGTTGAACCCACGTTTCAACCGAGATCTAGCGACTGCTCTGGCTGCGAATCACGATGCTTTAGGTAAAAGGCGGGATGAGGCGAGCATGTCACAGATCGTTGGCCTGCTGCTTCTGCTGCTACTGTTAGTGCTGCTGCTCGTAGTTTTCCGGGCGCACAGACAATGCCGCGCAGTGACAGAAAAGACTCCTTGCTGGATCATGCATTTTTGAAGGAAGATCGGCAATGATCTTGGGCAACCGGACGCAATGCGGGTGGCCACGGTGGTAAACTTTCCCAGTGGTGACGGCAGTGTGGCAGATGTGGCTCCTTGGCTAGAATGGGAAACTCTCAGAAGCACGCTCAACAGCACCTTTCAGAACTGGGCACAAGGAAAAAAACAGCTTGACAGACAAGGCCAGCGAAGTCAGACGTGCTTTGGAGCTCGGAGCTGACGAGATTGACCTTGTAATTTGCTACAAGGCGCCCGCTCGGATGTTTAAGGCTTTAACGGCGTTCGGCAGTGCTTTGCGGCCCGAGAGCGAAGGAGTACCTTAGCACCGGCGGCTCTCCAAAGTCTTGCGAGTTGGTGCGGGTGGCAAAGGGGGTGCTGGAGCAGCATGAAACGGAGACTGGGCGCAGCGCATTGCTCAAGGCTCCTTGCTGCTTTGGCCTGGGCTCAAACTCAGCGTTGGTACATGTTGGCACTATACTAACTCACTAAGCGAATGTAGAATTGCAGACGTGTTTTGAAGACTGTGCGACTATGTCCTTCGCCAGGTCATCCTTGAAACCGGCGAGTTGAGTAACCAAGACCTTATTGCAAAGGCGTCGCTGGATGCCTTCAGTAACGGCGCAGACTTCATCAAGACTTCCACGGGCAAGACCAAAGTTGGGGCAACACTGGACGCAGCGCAGACTATGCTTCAGGTAATCCTGGATTTGCGAAGCCGTGACGGAGATAAAGTTGTGCAGCGTGGCCTAAAGGTCTCTGGCGGGGTGCGCACTTTTGATGATGCCATGTCCTACATCAAGCTGGTCGAGCAGATGCTGCCATCGGAGTTCCTCCATCCTCGTACCTTTCGCTTTGGGGTTAGCGGGCTATTGGCAAACCTGCTGAAAGATGAAGTAGCTGGGAGCTCTGGAAGCGTAGACACTGCAGGTGCTACTTCTGAGGCTCCCGGCGGCACCTACTGATGCAAAACTGTGAATTGCAACTGGGAGCACAGCGGCTCTCAGCAGCCCTGTTGGCCCTGCCATCCAGATATGGCATGTAAACCTCATGGTAGTTGTTGCACTGGCTGCATCAACTACACCACTATCGTTTCGAGAACTTAAGGCACAAAGATTCGGTTGCAAAAAGATGAGGGGACAACTTAGTCGTTCCCAATATCGGTCGTCGGGACTGGACAGGCTCTAAACAGTAGATGTTTTGCTGGATTTGGCCATTTGCTTCCACCAACGTATGGGTCGATTGGACCCATGCAGATGAGAATCCAACTTTGGAGATTTGCAGGAGCAGTGGAGGAAAGCAAGATTCGGTGTAGATTGCTGTGTGATGCACGATGGCGTCTCATGCTCCAGCCAGCTGTTTTGTCTGTTGTCTTGGCTCTAGCACACTCAAGCAGCGAAGACGGTCTGAGTGCGTCGGCTACCTGGTACTGTTGCTCGCCTGCAAGGCCATAGTCAAGGCCATGAGCCCCGGCTTGGGAGGTCTGTTCTGATCTGCCCCATTGCATCTTTGCAACGGCATGTGCGGTCTTCGTGAATTGCCTGCTTGCTCGAGCACTTCTTGCCAAGCCAAGCCGCATCATCAGGAAGCATGATGCCAGTCATCGTTTACAGGAACACCTTCCTCCAGGTCCCTCTCGAGGACAATGTTTTGTGGATTTTGGGCCAGCCCGTGACTCAACATCTCCTATCTTCCCCCCACTTGCAGCACCCCATGTCCTCTCGGTTGTGGCCAACTCATCAAGCTTCGCCACACATGCCCCCATGAATGAATATTCGAACTGTAAGATACGACGGATCCAGGAGCGCATGGGTGAACTTGGACATCGCCGAGCAGCGAGTGTTCCAGCCCGTTTGCCGGGCCAGGCCGCAAGTTTTACCTCAAGTATTTGGGTATTCAACCGTATCTGCAGGCGAAGAGGTGCGATAAAGACAACCAGGAACTTCGGAAGTGTTTTTTTCAGATTCCGGTGATATGGCGAGCGTTCATCGGAGAAAAAGGCAGCCCAAGCTGGAAACTCTGCACGGGAGGGCTGTCTGTGACAAGAGGATAAGAGATGATACACGGAGCAAAACTCCCGGTCAGAACTCTTTTAGGTCTAGGTAATCCGTCGTTGATAATTTCAAGTCATTCCTGCAGCATATGGCTTTGGGCAGGTTTGTGTGTGGCATGGATCGGGGATGGCAGAGCCGGCTTTCCACAGTAAGAACCTCGTGAATCTAAAGCCAGATCAGAGGTCCACAAAGCTGAGCTTCAGAGCTTCAGAGGCCCAGGATGAGAGGATTTTCCAGTTTCTGAGTCCCTTTCGCTGTCAGCGGAGGCAGGGAGTCTCGAGAAGGAGCCGAGTCTCGACAGGTACTTGTCAAACGTGTCTTGACTCAGTCGACTCAAGCTTACACTCTTAGAAAGGCTTACACACCTTACGGTTGCTCTCTTCTTTTGTCACGATCTTCTGCAAGGGTTGCGGGTTGCCATTGCTTCTGTAAGTTTTCTGGCTGGAGCTGCCCTGCAGAACTTCGGACGACGTTGAAGATAAACGTAAACTGACGAGTCCAACCTGCAATGCCAAACGGCAGTGCTTCCTCGCCAGTGGCTTTCGATTCCTGCCATGCGAGATGGGAAAAACGGTAGTGATTACCAAAGCAGAAAGTCAGCGGACCTCCACAGCCAGAGCATGTGCGGTGGGCGAGCATAGTCATCAGAAGCTCCGATGCTGTACTGGTGAGTTGTTGAGCAAAGCAGCAGGGACAGGGGCAGAGGGGGAGGGGTGGGTGGGTGAGAATCCCAGAGCTTCGCATCTGTACTGGAGCTCTGGTGTAAAGGCAGCTTCCCAGATTCTTCGTCTTCGTTCAGCAGGGTAAGACAGTAGGCGCACGAAAACAAAAGGACAAGGACGTTCGGAGGTGCGAGAGTCAGGCAACCGCAAAGTGATACAGCTGAGGTGGCTCAATCTCTTGGGCAACTTTGGGCCCATGGCATCCCACCGGCCCTGTGGACTGGCATTGGCAACGGGGCAGCTTGATTTCACAGCTTTGCTCCTGCTTCTTTCGGACTCCGCCTAGAGCTTTGACTCGACAAGGCCGACCAGCCTCCAGAGGCTCTGGGAGAAGGCGATGTTCATCAGACTCCGGACGATCCCATGCCGCAGACGGAACTGGGTATTCGGAGTTCAGCATCCAACGACGACGAGCCTGACGAGCCTTCCTTTGCCCCACCTTGTCTGGACGTGGCGAGCTCGGCCTCCGATCCAGAAAAGGCCCATGGGAGCATGGTGGAATGCGCAAAGCACGCGCTACAAGTACTATAGTTGCTACTTCTCAGCAGTCTCTCTGTTTTGAAAGCTGTCGGACTGTGTGAGGGCATTGCTCGCAGGAGGAGCATGGCGCAACCATGCAGGAAGTCCTTCCGGGCCATTTGGGACATCCCGAGTTTTGCCGCCGACCTTGCATTCTCTTCTCGGCAGGGAGCCTTGGACCTTGCTTGCGCTGACTCTCCCAGCTCCTGGAGTAGGTTTGACTCGATGCAAGTCTCCGTTGCAACTTGGGGGTCCCTGCTTAAGGAAATGTGAAGCGGGTCTGGGCTGCAAGTACTGCCATCTGCCTCATCATCGGAAGGCGAAGCTGCCCCAGGTCGGCCGACATGTTTGCGAGTATGGAAGCGGCGCGTAAGCCCCCCCCCTTCTTCGCTTGCCGCGGCAATACGTGAAAACACCGGTCCCTGGGTTGTGCCTCGAGTTTCGGCTTGACAATGAGACGGTCACACGCTTGGAGCGGCTTTTCACGGACAGCCCAAGAACCCATCTCAGAGCCTTATGTAATAATTATGCGGTCCTGACTCGCCGCGCTTCAGGCCATGCGGTGGAAGCTTCAGGATATGCGTGCAGAAGAGCGTCTCGAAATCTTGACGCAAATCCTGCGCAAGAAGGACGGCACGCTTTTGACAGTGTTCTTGAAGTGCAGAGGTCCGTCTCATAAGCTC